ACCCACAGGTTGAGAACCGCTGCTGTAGGATCACTCTGAGTCAGAATCAACTCAATGGCAGTGGGTGGGAGTTGCATCTTTAAGGGGGCAGATTGTCAGGTTCCCCACCCCAGGGTATCACTGGGTAGATTCAACCTGTCAACCTATAGGTTAAAAGTCGATCATTTAACTGTTACACCACCACACCTGCCTGCCCACAGGCTGCTACAGGAACTGCAATGATGTATTAGACACTCATACACTTGAACACCCTCCAAATGATATGATCTTTAGGTAATGTTGCAAGAAAGGTTTTTAAATAGAAGAGGTATACAAATAACTTAGAGGTATTAAAAGTGGCCTTAATGTTTGAGATATTAAATGAATGTTACTAATGTTGATCATTTGTGGGTTCTTACCAGTTAATGTCTGCTTCTAGGGAGCATCGGCTGCTGCAACATTGACCCGACTGTGTAACATAAGGCACCCGGAAGACCAAGTCAGAAGCTGCTATAGTTCCAGTATAATTATAGCACGTCATGAGATTGTTCTTGGGAGACCAAATTACACTAAAGAGTACCTTGGAAACAGACATATGATTTTGATAGCATGATCAAATCTGCCTATCAGGCTGTATACTTAATCGATTATGTTATTTTGCCTCAGACATCACAATGAGAAAGCACTGCTTTGCTCACAGCATCTGGACTTTGAGGTGTGGCATGTCAAGAACCAGAGCAATTCTGAGTGCTATTTCTTCCACACTAGACTGACTGAGATAGAACTTTGGATGTACGATGACCAGGACCAAGGGACTCTATAAAAATGGTGTTTCAATCTCAAGAGGCCATGCTGTAACTTAACTGATTGAAGTTATCAAATTTGATGGCAATAGCCTATGGTGGGCCACCTGAGCAACTGGAAAGTCAAGTGATGCTAAAAATTTAAAAACAAATAAGTTTTATAGACAATTGTACCAGCTAAACAGGTCATCTGTTGGTGCAAGCTGTCTGGCCTGCATTGGAAGTTTTAGACCCTGGAGTC